CGAGAGCAAAGCAAGTAGAGCGGTTTTCAATTGAGTATCGAAAGTAATCGCTGAATTACTTTGGTTTTGATTCACTATTTATGTGATCGGTTTAAAATGCTCGTGCCACCTTCTCAACCAATCAGATGCAAAACCAAAACTAATCGCGACTTGGTCGCACGCGTTTTCCCGCGCTTGGCGCTGGTCACGTGTATTTTCTTTGGGTTCTCATTGGTTTATTGTGTTGGTTACGTCTGTTATTATTGGTCATTGTAATTGCTTTGATTTTGGTTTCACGACACTCAGTCGAAAAACGCTTTAATGGCGGGAAAATTTTACTTAGAACACGCATGCAGTCGGTCGCGTCAGTGCGCAAGTGCTGAATATTGAAACAAGTGGAATGTTTAAGATCAAAGTTTTCACAATCATTTAGAAAGGTTTTCTTGCGACTGTTGAGAAAATAAATAATATCTGGCCAATCACAACAAATGCAAATAACGGAAGAACCAATCAGAACACAAAGCATTGTGTAATGCTTAATATATTATATATTATTATAATTATATATTGCTTTTATAATTATTATTATTATTAAGCAAGAACATCCAACCGGCGCCAAGCGCGGGAAAACGCGCGTAAGCCAAGTTACTGAACTGAAAAGGTTTTGGTTTTACTCGTCAGTGATTGGTTCAGAAACAACCCAACAGGTTTACTTTGTTAGAGAAAGTTGTAGAGCAAAGCAAAGTTCTAATATAATTCATTATCATCCTTGTTATATTCATCTTTACAACAAAATTGGGAAATTTTTTCAACTATGCTGATTGTCATTCCATTAATTTTTTTTTTAAAGAGCTATATATTTGTCTCATGCATTAGTTTTACATTTCTTGAATTAATCCTCTTTTCCATGCTGCTCAAAAACCGTTTGAATTGTACACAAAGTAATCGCTTATACTGACGTTTTCAGCTTCTGTTCGAATAGAGGTTGATAACAAAATACAAAAGGAGATTGCATGACTCGATTATTTCTGAGCTTTTTTTTTTGGTTGCTTTTTCTGATGTTATTTTTCCAAAAACAACGTGTAAAGGCGTCACATACGGTCATTTGTTATTTAGATTAATTTAGAAACGGCAGCCTTTCTTAACTTAAATATCACCTTTGTATTTTTGGACAATCAATGGCACTTCTATAACCTTAGCTTGTGATATACTGAAACGTTCGTAAGTTTAGTTTCCGTGTGGCATGTTTTAACGCGGGAGTTTAATTTCGCGGATTGCCGATTCTTTGCGTTTCGCGGGAACAAATTTTCGCGAATTTGGTTTTTAGACTTTACCGCTGGGAGCAAATTTCCGCGGATCTCGGGCAAGTTCCTGTCCGGTATTTCACGTACGGTACTTGTAATATTGTTTGCAGTCAATTTAATTGAAATTCAGTAATTAAATAAATGGATTAAATTTTCGTGGAATTTTTTTTCACAGGAGTTTATTTTTACGGGTAATAATTTTCCCGGATCGTTGGAAAACCCCCGAAATTCGCGAAAATTAGATCCCGCGAAAATTTCATGCCACACGGTATCTTACAATGCATGCTGCATGTACATATTGGAATCGTTATGTGCGAGGTACGACATTTGACGACCTTTACTTTACATGATTATCTGCTCGCAACAGTGGGCTATTTATGGAGTAGCGCATGCGCAGAGAATTTGATGCATAATGGCTCTAACCAGTAGTATATGATTGGTCCAAGAGTTACTTAGGAAGCTAAAGCTTTTGGCAAGCTTGTTGTTACCTTTTTCTGTGGCGATGATTATTAGAGTGCGATCACTATTTTGGGAATTTTTTGACACGATCTTGTAGTTGTCGTTGGTCTGCATGAAAGACAATATCAGGATAACTTGGCGAAACTCACGGTAAGGACTTTGTTATATGAAGAAGAGTGCTGGGATTCAGTAAGTCTAAGATTATATGGAAGATTCTCAGGACTGAACTGCTGGAAGCTGGAAGCATGCATCAGACTCGTTAGCTGGTCAATACTATCTGAAGCTTCCACGTTAGCTTGAGGCGCAGGTCTTTCCATGAGCTGGCATGAAGTCAAGCTTGTGAGATTGTGTGAGGGTTTCTATGCAACACATATTGCATCAAACTTCTGTATGAGTTTGGATTTTTGTGTAAATCAGTACTTTACACCTACTGCTATAAAAATACATAACAGATCATCCGGGCGATCATCCGTTATAGAATAGGTTTTTTCAATGCTTTTGTTAGTGTCCCCAATTAGTAGGCCACTTGTGACCAGCTAGTAGTTTTGACACCTGAATAAAGTTATTGTATTGTATTGTATTGTATTGTATTGTATTGTATTGTATTGTATTGTATTGTATTGTATTGTATTGTATTGTATTGTATTGTATTGTATTGTATTGTATTGTATTGTATTGTATTGTATTGTATTGTATTGTATTGTATTGTATTGTATTGTATTGTATTGTATTGTATTGTATTGTATTGTATTGTATTGTGAGAGGAAGAACACGAACGAACAGTACAACTTCGATTCATCATGAATATTTGCATCGGTATTCGACTCGGCTATACCCCATCCGTCGTTAAAAGAAAGACCACTTTTAAGGCATGGTTTCTTTGCTGGAACTCGTAGCCCAGAAATGGAATGAGTCTCTTGTATTCGGATCTGTATTTTAATATTGTTGTTGTTCAATTAAGCCACTTTCTTTGCTAGCTAAATCGGGACCCATACTACTAATTTCTACGCCTGCTAACCATGTTAATTATGTATAATTTGGGTGTTGTAAGCAGTCTAGAGATTCTACAGAAATATAACTGTTTGGCTAGTCCACCAGGCGAGGCAGCTGTCGTTGACTCAAACACCATCTATCTAGCTTTTCCATCAGTCATGATGCGACTGCTTCAACTGGAAACCTCCAAACATAATGTTTTAATCCGGATAAAATTGAAATCTTAGTTCAGTGATTTCAGTTGTTAAGTGCAGATATATATTACTAGTTTATTCGCTGTATTATTTTTTTTCTCATGAATTTGTGAGCCACCGATGTTGTTTTCTGACCTATTGACATACGGTAGCTTAATGACAAATGCTGTTTGGAACATTATGTTCTAAAAAACTAAACCATGCACTGATCAGGAAATATAGTGGAATGGTCTGGAATGGCAGGGAAAATATCTGCATGTTTGCCTTTTACATATGTTCACCTATATTATTTCTAGAAAAAATATAGTTTAGTTCGGTCAGACAAGCACAAATGTGCTATGTTCTGATTGCCGAGGTTAAATAAAGTCCATAACTTCAATGCAAGCTAACTGGAGTCTCAAACTAAACCGCTGGTCAGGAAATACAGTATGGAATGTCAGGGAAAATATCTCGTGGCATGTTTGCCTTATTCGCCTACATCTGATTACTAGAAAAAGGAATTTTAAGTCATTCATTCATTCATTCAATCGCGTTCGTTTGTTCGTTCGTTCGTTCGTTCGTTCATTATTCTTTCTTTCACTCATTCTTGTACTTACCAAAATGTTTGAAAACATACCTTGAATGATTAGAGCGGTTTTCAATTGAGTGTCGTGAAACCAAAACCAAAGCAATCCACCGTACGGAAAAAGATGGCGACTGGTACATTTACCCATAATTCTTAGCGCACGAAAATTCTAAAAACGCTCATAAAAACGCACAGAAAAGTTCTAAAAACTTCAAACCTAGCATTCACAATGTTGTTAGTACCGGGACGAATTTCGCAAAAAATATGGCTTTCTATGTGCATATTGATTGTGTTAGGTTCGCAAGGTATTGTGGTAAAATGTACAGCTGCCATCTTTTTCCGTACGGTGGATTGCAATGGCCAATCACAACAAACGAAAGCAACAAAATGAACCAATGAGAACTCAAAGCAAATACACGTAACCGGCGCTAAGCGCGGGAAAACGCGTGTGACCAAGTCGCGATTGGTTTTGGTTTTGGCCAGTGAAAAGGTGGCGCGAGTTTTTTAAACCAATCACAAAGCGTAGTAAAGCAAAACCAAAGCAATTCAGTGATTACTTTAAACACTCAATTGAAAACCGCCCTATCACAAAGCTAAACAAATTGACTTACCTGACTTACCTGATATCATCTATATCTGTTCGTTCTTGTACTATAAGGCCGTGCCATCATTTTGTGCAGATGTTTAAGACGTTAAGCCGTTGGCCTTGTCTCCTACACCTTCTAGCTCATACTTAATTAGTAGGGGACGTTAAAGAACCCACATCACTGTTCGAAAAGAGTAGGGGACGTAGTTTCTGGCCTGTTCACATGTATTCATGGGTTGGGTGGGTGGGGTGAGATCATGAATGGACTGATAGGGGCTGCCATAGGCGCCTTTACAAGCTGATGTCCGATCTCACCCCTGAGTTGAATTTGTAAAGCGCATTTGAACTTTGGAAAATGCGCTATATAAATACCATTACCATTATATACGCTTGAGACCAATTTTATTCTACTTAACTCAGCTTGCCTCGAACATTAATAGACTGAGTTTTACATCGAAGCCATGCTTTCCAAAAAGCATCGTGCACTGTCGTCCGGCAAAGGCTGACATCAAAATAAGTTGCCCATTTTTTCGCCAAGGTACAAAGTCACGTTAAAAGCTCTAAAGACCATATTTCAAAGGATGTGTCCTCAGTTTGAGGTACTGATGATTTGTCTGAAAAGTAACCAACCCATTGTTTCTAAATTGAAAACTAAGAAAACTTGAAACACTGATCATCATTGAAGGCCAGTTTCACGCAAATCAGATGTTTTGTGCAAGAATGCTTCACAATGCATGCCGTGAGAGTGACAGTCATATTTTGGACAGAATAATTTATTTATTGCATTCCACGTACGTAAGGCCAAGGCTTCTGTTTCAGGAATAGTCGACAAGAAAACGATATTTTTATGATATATGAAATACCATCGCAGTTATGTACGCAACTTAAGCAGTTGCGAAAAGAAAGCCTGAAATAAATTCAGGCTTGAACGGGATTCGAGCCCATAACACTGACTTCTGCGATACCGGTGCAGTGCTCTACCAACTGAGCTATCAAGCACTGACTTGGAGCTGGTCATATTGTAATATTTTATCTATATCTACCTGCATTAATTCTCATTAGAAAATATCTGCGCAGGGAATTAAAGTTAATTATTATTGCTATTCTAGCCAAAGTATCTCTAGAGAACGAAAAAACGAACGTTTTGGAGTTAAAGAATATTCTACGAGTTTTGATCGTTCAAGGTTTTCTAGTTCGTGATAAAAGGAAGCAAATTGTGCTCAGATACGTTCAAAAAATATTATAGTATCACCAGTTAGCGATAATCCCTCCGACCTTCCTTTCCTTTCCTTTTTGTTGTTGGAAAGATTGACAACACCGATTGAGGGTACAATTCATGTTCATAGAAACTACTAATCTTCTCAAGTTTTAAATTAAACATTATTGAATTGAATTGCAATAAATATGAACAGAAACCTTTAGTAGTCAGCTGAATGGTCCTTTGATATAGTGTCCCTGGTTCAAGCTAGCTGTCGAGCCATGTTTCAACCAGCAAGTAAGCGGCGACGTGACCTGAAGTGATCCACACTTTAGTCACAGTCACTAACAAACTGAGAGCTAAAACTGTTAGCATGATTGCATTTTATAACCCCGACTTTAAACAGGTGCCACATATAGCCTTTGATTGATCTGAATTTCGCAACAGAGATGTGCAATGCCGAGGGATATAAATAAATATATATATATAGAACTAATATGATTCATTCATATACTAATAAAGCTAACATTAATTGCTTTATCCCACCTATTTCATTGGAGCCGTAAACGCCTTTGTTATATTAAGTGTAACATTTATTAGCTTTCTTCCCATCCTAAAATAACCCGTTCGGATAAACGTGAAAGACCTATAATTTTTGTACGGGTAAAATTTTCACGATATTCCATGAGACACGTACAAAAAACCAGTGATAAAATTACCAATCTTCCAGTTCAGAAATATAGTCAATGACACTCGTATAATAACAAAAATCACTACTGCTGTCACTACCATATATTTGTATTAAGGAAAGGAAGTAACTTCTTTACATTTCCTTTCTGTGAATAAATTTTCGCGGGCTTAATTTTCGCGAACCTCTCATCAAGGGCACCCAACTATTCGTTTCGGTGGAATATCTGTTCGGAAGGCCTATAATCTCCTCAGATATTCGGATAAAAGTTTGGAGTTTTCTTTAGGGAAATATAATCTCGAACTTTCTTAATATGGGAAAATTAATGCCTATTATTTTTGGAGAGATAAAAATTTCGTTTTGGGTACAAAAAAAGGTCAGCTAGGATTTTCGGAAAGAAATAATCAGCAAGGAAGAGCTGAGATTTTCGGGAAATGACTAAAAAAGCCCTAATAAATTCGTGAAGTCTAAAGTTCCCCTAGAATGACCGAACAGATATAAATTTTATAGCGCAGCTTAGAATTCATTTATAGATCTTTAAAAGCACACCAGACAGCCTAAAATAGTGTTTTAAAGCATTTGGGAGAAAACCGTCGTTGGGTGCCCCTTTCTCATATCAATGCGAAAAACAACGAAAATAAACCCACGCGAAAATTCATTAGAGTATGTTACTTCCTGGTTGGTCATTAACGAGGTCGTTAATCGAGTAAAATTCAGGCAGGTTTGGCGCCATTTTCACCGTAAACATTAAACAAAGTTTTGATGAATGGATTGTTTATAAGGCAATGAGGACAGCGAGATGGTTAGATTCCGGTTGGTTCGGTTGCTAATGCAGTTTATATATTGAGCTATTGATATCTCATTTTTCCTTGAGTAGTAATGGTTGTACTATTCAGAAGTCTATTAAAAGATATATTTATTTTTTTACTTACTTTAGAAGCATACAGTGGCGATGTTCTTCGGCAGTCGACGTCGACATCAATGGAAATTTGAAGTAAATCAGAGGTGAACTGCGAACTGCGCGCAACTGCGAACTGCGCGCAACTGCGAACTGCGCGCAACTCAGCGAACTGCGAATTGTAAATGAAATTTATCTTCCGGCACAGTTATGAAGCAAGCGCAACTAATTAAATTCAATCGGCCGTTAAATACCAAAGTCCCACAAAAGCATATGTTTAATAAACGACACTAAAAGCATTCTGACCTCTGACGTTGTAAATCATCTTGAAACCAAATAAAATGTGCTTAGAAAAGGGAAGGAGGAAAAGGCAAGAAAATATAATGGGTAAATTCCGGCAATTTTCTGGAAATCACACAGGGAAACTTTTGATTTCTGAATCGGCACACCATTAGTACCCATACTCGTTTATTCTATATTGTAATATATTTTAGTCTATTTTAAATTTTGTAAATCATATTTTAGACCATTTAAATTTAGATACCTAGGATCGAGGGCCACTAGTTTATCAGTGTTTAACTGTTATGTGTTTACCCTCGTAAAATAAAGTTGCTTACTTACTTACTTAGCGAGGTCCTTTCGTGATGTTTTTTTTTTAGTGATGTATGGTCCACTAAAAAAATTATCGAGACCTTTATACGCCAAATTCAGGAAAACGATCCTGTATAAATATTTCTTGTACTATTTCTAACGGAAACAAGACGATTTGGAGATTTGTAAATAGGTTGTTAACCTCGTCCTCAGTGTTCTCGGCGTTGCTTTTCAAGATGGCGGCTGGAAAACGCCGAGAACGTCCTGGGGACGAGCTGGTTTGAGGCTCATGCCCCAAATGTGCACACTGTATTGATCAATTCAAATATTTATCGATAGTGGAAAAATAACATATTTCTTGAAGTTCAGAGTCATCATGCAATTAACTTGCTGAATTCAGCTTGAGGGGTTGCTTTCAGTTACCGGAACGACCCGGAACTTTTGGCATGGAAATTATGAAACCAAAACATCCTTGAGATAAATCTTTCTTGTTATATAATTAACAGAAAATGATTATTAACCCTTTCTTTCTCTCCCAGAATCAAGCATATCAAGTGAATTATTGCGTTTCTAATTGTTAGGTCTGTGGATGAAACCCTAGTGTGACCATTCAAATGAAAGATTTTGAGCAGTACTTTCATGTGGTACTGTTTATTATGCTGTACAAGGTGGTTCTAACTTTTGAGTCTGTGGATGAAACCCTAGTGTGTGACCATTCAAATGAAAGATTTTGAGCAGTACTTTCATGTGGTATTGTTTGTTTTTCTATATCTTGAAAATGCAATTTAGGATTTTTTTTTTTAATTTTGAACTTTGACACTCCTGGAAGTGAAAGGGTTAAGGCGGGACTTTTAATTAAATGAAATTTTACGAGGTTTAAAGAAGGGATTGAAGAAAGAAAATGGTTTTTGGAACACCAACAGACCATACCCACGCGGGTGCTCTTGCGTGGTTATCAACTGTTTGTTGGTGTCCATCTACTAATTTTTAACTTCAAATTCTAATTTTAAAACTACATTAAATCTTCAATATTTCTTATTTCCCAAATTTTACATATCCTTTGAGAAAAACTATTTCCTCCAAAACATACGCAAAAATCACCCAAAAATTTACAAAGCACCCCATAACATAGATTCATGAGATGAGCATAGAGTAGTTTTTGGATTGCTTGAAACGTGAACGAGATATTTCCATTAAACCCATGTTTAGTAGCGGAAAAATGGCATTCAGGTTAAGTCCCGCCTTAGGGACTGTGCAATAATTACAAGGAGGGGGGGGGGGGGGGGGTTGGAAAACCAGAGGGGGGGACATAAAGTAAAATCAAAGCAAGGATAGGGGGGGCTCAAGGTAAAATAAGTCACTCAAGAGAGGGGTGGCGTAACATTTTATTTCAAGTACATATTACATTGGTGAATCCATACCGGCTATTTATAAGATGGGAACCGAAAAATTTTCCGGCCATACGGGCCTTCACCGGACCTGAAAATAACACGCATGCCCTTTTCCTTCTGCTATGGCTCTGTTGAACATTGCTACGGAGGTGATGTTTGTTCCAGACGCGGATGCCCAACAATTAAACATGCAGTAGGAGCTCTTCTTTCTGTTATAAGATTTTAATCCACAGGTGCGTGTAGAGAAAAATGTAGCGTACTTGTATAAAGGTGTGTGTATACTGTGAGTGAGGAGGGGGGGGGGGGGGGGGGGGGGGGGGTCGTACATAATTTCTGACTGATTAGAGGGGGGCAATAACTAAATTCACTCCTTTAGGAGGGGGGGGGGGGGGTATTACCTAATATTTGGCTACATGAAGCCCATTTTCCAACCCCCCTCCTGATAATTATTGCACAGTCCCTTAATGGGGCTACGTGCCTACGTCACGGATGTGCCTTGAAAACCTAGTCCAAATTTTTCATGTTCGTCGTTCGTAATTCGTCTCAATCTTCACCATACTACTTTGTGACACCCTTGTTTCTTTTTCTACCTCATTGATTTGGAAATTTTTTACGTCTCCAAAAATTGGCTTACAAGAGGTGGGGAGGGGAACGGGGTATTAAAAAATGGCCTATTTCTAGAACAGGGTATCATTTTGAATGCAAATTCTTTCTAAATCGTACGGGGTCCAAATTTGGGGATCTGGGCGCACATACCCAGCCAAAACATACGCGAGTATCACCATTAAAACATAGATTGAAAAATGTGCGCGCACTGATTGGTTAAAAAACCATGTTTTATCAGAGTTTAAAATATAAACTGAAAATTTCGCGCGCTCTGATTGGTTAAAAACCATGTTTTATCAGAGTATAAAATATAGAAAAGCGTGTTTTATCGTTTCGCGCGCGTAAATCTATATTTTAAAGCACATAAAGTGCGGCTCGTGTTTTCTAAATTTCTCTCGTGTTCTCAAATTCCCGTCGTGTTTTATGACAGTATAATACATGGTTTTGACTTCTTTATTTGTTAAATAAAACATAGAAAAGCGTGTTTTATCGTTTCGCGCGCGTAAATCTATATTTTAAAGCACATAAAGAAGCCAAAACCATGTATTATACTGTCATAAAACACGACGGGAATTTGAGAACACTTGAGAAATTTAGAAAACACTCGCCTGCGGCTCATGTTTTCTA